CTTACTGTATTTACGTTAACACTGTTAAATCATATATATTTAACAGTGTTAACGGCTACCTTGATTTATGTTATATGCACCTATTTGTTTCTAGCCGTACCTATTGTGTAATAGAGTGTATCTGGTGGTATTTGAATCTGTTCAACCATGAAGCCTCCGTGGTCTAGTGGTTATGACACTCGCCTTGACAGCGAGAGGTCGCCGGTTCGAGTCCCGCCAGAGGCATTTTATTACACAATTTCTTTATTCATTTATTTACAGGACTACATTCGTTGAGAGCTATGCTACACGATGTATATATTAAGTCCTTTATTCGAACACTGTATTTACCTTCCTTTGATGATTTATATATGATTTAACAGTGTTAAACGGATTTATGTTATATATATATAGTCTCTATATATATATATATATATATATATATATATAAATGAAGCATAAATGATATGAAAAGATAATAGAAAAAAATACAGTGGCTTTTCCATTAATACGCCCTTTCAAGAAATATTTCCTGCCATTATTCTTCAATTTATCTACCTATTTTACTTATTTTTGATTAAAATGTGTATGTTTGTTGTCTTTCTATGATGTCTGTAATCCTAGTCAAAGCCTAAAGGCTAAGTTGAAAGAAAAATCATTATTTTCTTGATATCTTTCCTTGTTGTGAGCTTTACTTTTCCCCCATAAATAACTACGATTATATAAGGTATATATTTATTAGGTTTGTGTGCATTATTTTACCAAGTACACCTCAAGAACTTGATCTTCTAGCAGGTTGAAGTCGGCAGTCAAAAATTTATACCTTTATGAGAAGTATGAAGTCAGGATTGTTGAGGTGGATTAATCTGAAACCTTCTATGAACATTTGTTAAGTGGTGTGATGAAAATTACTTTGTACAAAATATTACCAAACAAAAGAAATAATCATCGACACCAGGAAATAGGAAAAGATCATGAATGCTTAATTATTAAGAATGATGATGCGGAAAGTTTTATTTAAGAAACAAATATTGTGTCTTATCAGTTTATATAGTGATGACAAGTTGAATTGGAAAAGTAACAAATAAATTTAGTAGTTTTTGCTTAAAAGTTATTGGGGCGGATGCCAGATTTGGCTGTAGGGGGTACGTGATAGGCATAATCCACACCACCCGCCACACCAAAGTTGGGACTGAAGCAAGTAAAGCTTGGGAATATGGACCTCAAGATGCTCGGAAATTGCACTCTTATCATTTTGAAAATCTTAGGCCTACAGATAATATATGTGATAAAAATAATATATCAACAATACAATACAGCAATTATTTTTTAAAATAAAATTAAGGGGGTGCGATCACACCGTCTAAACCCCCTCTGCATCCACCTCAGAGATAAAATTAGATTTGGACACCTTTCTGTCTTTCTGTATCAGTCATTCTATCACTGCTCACATTCTGGTGTACCATGTGATTTAATTGAATAAAATAATTTTTAATAGTGAATAGCAAAATAATTGCTACCGAAACGGCTCAGCTATTCTGTATATGATTTCAAGATCTAGAAATTTATAACATTCTTCAGGACACTTCATCTTCTTCATAACTCTAAAATACTGTACATCTAGTAGGATAAGAATACTATTATATAGTAGGACAAATGGGTAATAAAGAAATGTGTTCATGCCATCAGCTATCCTACTAGAAAACACAGCATTCATGCAGTGAATATATACAGAATGTAGAATTTATAGTTTTAATCTTTTGTTGTTTTGGATTTACTTTTTATTTACCATGTTTTAACATGGAAACAACACTTTGTGGCAAGTTTTTTGTTTTTCAAATGCCTTATTACCTAAAGTTTAATATATTACAGATCATAATTAATATAAAATTTAATCAATTTAAATTAATAACACATACAGTCTATGGTAAAATTTTGGAAAACCCTATTAAAAAATTTAATTAAAAACATTGAATTGTACATTGAAAGATGCACTGTCTCTTACAGTATGAACCTAAAAAATCAATCTCATATTTGAATTTGCTTACTTTGAATATTGAAGTATATTAACATACAATTAAAAATTTGAATGGGAATACCTTCCTGTATTCTTTTGCACTGACCTTCACACTGGCTAACAATCAATAGAGATTATAAAATGTCTGTAAATCAACAAAAACAATCTGTTTCATTTGTTCTTTTTAAATGATGTGTTTGAACATTTTCCTTGAATTTTTGAGTGTTTTTTTTTTCGAAGTTCCAATGAAATAATAATGTGTTTGCTGATTTAGAAACTTTTTATGCCAAAAATCATTGTACTGATTGTAAGCAAACGGATCTAAGTGACATTGAAAGCTAATGAAAGCTTACAAAGTAAGCAGTTCAAATGTTAAATTGTATTGTAACCAATGGTACAAGCTACAGTAATTACAGTCAATGTTTACCATTTTTGGTTGATATATTTTCTCATGCCTCTACTTCTGTCTCTACTTCACTAGTGCGTTTCTGGGTGCTGTTTTAAAGGTTGCACAATCTCAACAACAGATGTTTGTTGGAGTAAAGGAACAACAGAGTTTTGTATAACCAAGTTAGAACCTTGGCAAGCTTCCCGGTTCCACATCGCTGCTGGAAACTGATTGATGCTAAGAGAGGTGTTTGAGCTGGTGAGTGGTGCTGTACTACACTGTATGTTGACTAATGATTGTTTGTCTACTTTCTGTTGAGTATGGTTACGTGTCTGCTCAACTAATCTTTGCATCACTGCGGAGGCCTCTCCAATTTGGAAAGAACTGCCATTACTTTTAGTGTTACCACTTGTAAACGATGGCTGCTGTGGCTCTGAAGGGGCAATACTTGTTACATTCTGATTTGAGAATAATGCGGTAACAGTTGAAGTTGAAACTGGCTTACTTGCAATTGGCCTTACTTTGCGAGATACTTGTGATGTTACTGGAACTAACTGGAACCTTTGTGGTGAGGTCGAGAGCTGTAAGGTCTGATAATTACCAGGTTGAATGTTCTGGAGTGTTAAGGGAGACTGGACAACAGTTGGCTGCATTATTCCAGATATTCCTGCTGACAATGATGTAACAGCCTTCTGTTGTATGGTTGCTAATGGAATCAAAGGTTTTTCAGTGCACTTCTGCAGATTTTGCTTCCTAGGCCTAGACCGGGTAGATGGTGAATTGGTCACACTAGCGCCTGGATTAATGATATGAAGCATTACATTTTGGTCTGCTGAAACATTTGAAGTGACAGACGACATGGTAGATGTCTGTTGTTTGTTTGGTGTCAAACCTTCACCAAAAGCATTAGCTTGAATCTGAAACACCTGAGGCTGCACATTTGAGCCTTGCACCTGCGCTATGACCACAGGTGGCCCCAGGATGTTGTGTTGCTGAGAGTTTATCAGCATTTGAGGAAACATTTTCAAGTTATCAACTTTTGCACATTCTTTAACTTGTGTTAAATGTGATGTGCTGGAATCTTTGGCAACCATTTGTTTAAAATCTTGCCTCTGTAATGACATATTTGACTGTGTAGAGTTGTCATTTGTAATGTTTACTGATAAATTTCCTCCTGCATGATCTTTACTTGTCAGCAATTCATTTGCAGATAATCTTTTGTCAACAGACTGCAATATTTGGCTTATCTCATGAGAACCTCTACTGACAGAAACCCTAACAGAGGTTATTTCTGGGTTCTCTCCTGGGACAACTTCAAATATGTCAGACTGTTGCTCCCCTACAAGTACAACAGGTGTCTCTTGAAGTTGTAAGACAGCTAGAGCAGTGCTTTGAAGTGTTTCTTCCACTCTTATGTGCTGTCTCAAATGACTGTTGAGTGAATCTTTACGGACAAATGAAGCATCACAGTGAGTGCAATTTAGTTTCTTTTTAGTGGATGCCGGAAGGGTAGATGTGGCACATTTACCTTTACCCATGCTATCTTCAGAATCTTTTAGTCTTGATTTTAGTTCCTTTTCCTCGTGCTTTTTCTGTTTTTTCAAAGTCCACTCCCTAGTATGTGCCTTCTTCATATGTCTTTGTTTATGACTAATGTACTTGGCTTTAAAGTCACAGTAGTCACACACATAAGGTCTGTCTTCACTGTGTGCACGCTCATGGCGCTTAAAGGATGTTTTGTCTTTACACCTGTAGTCGCACTCCAAACACTTGAATGGCTTATATGAAATGTGAACAGCCATATGTGTTTTCAGCTGACGTTTTGTACAAAAGCTGGTTCCACAGTCCTCGCAAACATGCTTCTTTTCTCGTAGGTGGTTATTCTTCATATGTACATTCAAATTACCTTTCATTGAACACCTGTAGTCACACAAAGGACATGTGTATGGTTTCTCTTTTGTGTGAACACGCATATGGCGGTTCAAATCAGAATTAATTTTGAATTTTGCACTGCAATTTTGACAATGGAATGGCGTATCACCAGTATGAGTTCTTAGATGAACAACAAGTTGACTGGAATTTCGGCTTGCATAATCACAAATTTGACATTTGTATGGCCGTTCATTGGAGTGAATTCTAAGATGCTTTGTAAGACTTCCCCGGTCCACTGCAGAGTATGGACAATCATTACACTTATAAGGTTTAACTCCGTTGTGTGAACGGATGTGTAACTTTAGCTTGTCACTTCTGGTAAAAGTTCTTGGGCACAAGCTACAACAATATGGTCTATCGCCTGTATGCTTTCTGCTGTGACGTAGCAAGTCTTTTTTATATCGGGCAGAAAATTCACAGCCCTCTTCTGGGCATTTTATATATTTCAGCTTTTTAACTTTCAAACCAACATTATCTTTGTTAAGAGGATGTTTTGAACTCTCCACTGAACTTACTACTGAGTCTTTAGAAAGCCCTTTATCAGTGGACCCTCTCACCATATGTGTTATCACTAGTGGTGTCCGGTCTGTGCAGTGAGATGCTGTTAACAAGTTGTCAGCATCTATTTGTAATGTTTCATTTTTACCACTGGTAGGATTTGTTACTTTTTCTTGTAACATGCCATCTCTGACTTCAAAACGTTGGCCTTTTCTTACATTTTGAAAACTTGACTGTTGAGAATTGACTGCGGTTTCATTCCTTCCAACAGCAAAGAGCGGTACCTCATCAATTGTTTCAGTAACATTGCCTTGAATACATGTCGCCCTCTTGTGTGCAAGAAAACTGTCTAGTTCTCTGAACTGACGTTTACATGATCCACATATATGGATATCCATATTCTGGAAAGAAATGAGAATAAAGAAACTTTTACACCAATCCATTCTATGAATGTTAAAAGTGATGTGATAATAGAAGACATAGGCAGTGTTCAGATTGAATGAATGTTAATTTAAATGTGTTTTTTTGTTAAAAGGGCAGTTGGTCCTTAATGGGTTAATTCTTTCTCTTTAACTGTCCTTAACCATTTTTTTATAATGCAAATTGCGGTTGAATAAATAAATGAAATGAAATCATTTGGCCCAGTCCTTTTATTCAAGGTTTTACAGTATTTGTTGAGTGTGTCAAAATAGAGCGAGGCCTACCCACATTCTGGAAACACCCCTATTTTTATTTAAAGATGCATTGACCCCTGACAATGACAAAAAAAATCTTTTAAAAAATGTTCTTTGTGACCAAATTGCTAATTTTGCAGATACATATTATTAGATGTACAGCTTAAGCTTCGAAATTATTGAATTAAAAAAAAAAATGTACCCTGATTTTTTTTTATAGTGTATTTAATAATTGTAACATTTATATTATAACTCTAATTTATGATAAAACCGGATAGGGTCCAGGAAAATTTGCATTATTTAATACTTGATAAAAGATAGAATTGAGAGGTTTCACCATGGTAATATCTATAAAACCTCTAACAAAAAAATATCATCCTGAATGCAATAGACAAGGAAATAAATTTTGTGTGAGATATCACCCTTAAGGTTGAAATGCGTGAATCTTAACGTCTCAAATGTATGAGACTGGATATGATATAGCCACTATTCTGTTTTTAATTTATTTGTATCATTTCTTACCTTAATACATTGTTGTGCAATCCTTTTTATAAAGCTTTTGATAAAGCTTTTGATTGCTCTGATAGGCAGAAAGGAAATAAAAAATACAACAGTCTGGATTTTTGTTGTGCCAAAAATATGAAAGCTACATGGATGAATCTCACATGGCATAGTTCCATATATTAGGAACCGAAAACAAAAATAAAAATTTAAGAAATTATATTTTTTCTATTTTTATTCAATTTTTAAAGTCATCTCTTTGGGTGTTGCCAAGTGTGAGCGCACCAGACCGAGAGAGTGAAAGCTTTATTGTACCACGCTACCGCAGTTTGGCCATAAAGCAACATAGTGCAGGAATTTGGCCTAAAAATGCATCCATTGGACTGTCCTAATGTTACTTTTAAGCAACTATAATGTCTAGCAAATATTGCTGTAATGATTACTTGCTGACAAATGATTCCATTCCTCAAAAAAATGCAAAAGGTTCGTCAAAGTTAGCGTAACGTTATCATGGGGTAAACAAAAAATTAATAGGCCTATTTGAGGCCCTGCATACTGGCGGAGGCAATGTCACCACACCCTTTCACTTTCTTGACCTAGCGCACCGCACTTGGCAACATCCGCAGAGATGAGTTTAAAAATTAAATAAAAATAGTATTTTTTAGATTTTTATTTTTGTTGTTGATTCCTAATATATATTGTAACTATATCATGTGAATTTCATCCATTTAAGGGCACGTAAAAAAAATTATTACAATATCACTCTTTTTTTAACAAAAAGTGATGAGGGAGGGCAGTTTTATTTTTTCCTAATCGGAAAAATAGAATATTGCTTTTTTATTTATTATTGAGGGAAAGACTGTTTTTATTTGGCAAGATTGTAAAGAAATGGTTTAATTTTATTGTTTTTTAAGGAAATGTATTTCCAGTCACAAAATTGCAATTGTTTTTTTCATGCTTTTGAAATGATGATAATCTAATAACTTTCATATTTTTGGCACAAAAGAAATAAAGACAACCCAGACAGTGTATTTTGCTATCCTTTCTGCCTACAACTTAACTGACATTTTTGTCGATTTTTGAAAAAACATCATTTGGGAGTATATTAAACACGTCTGAATTACCTGTGAAACTTTCAGGTCTCATTAATGAGTCGATTCGGAGATAGCAGTGGAGATAGCACCACCTATCTTTAAGCACAAAACTTAAAATCCAGTGATTTTTCGTGGCAAAACAACATAACTACAAGATTACGCGCAAAACAATGTATCTGCGATGAAGATACGTTGTTTTGCGATGGAATGGTATTCAAAAATGGTCTTGAGCTGACAGAGTTTGGCAAGGCAAAATAAAATGGTTATTGGTGTTTTATATCAATAATTTTAAGCAGCGATGTATGAACAGGCTAGGTAATACATATGAATACCCTAAACGTGATAAATTCCAAAAATATGTCGTACGTCCCACAACAATACTGAACCTGATATAATTCCGTGGCAAAGCAACATATCTGTAATTATCGCTAAGAACTTTGCAATAAACAAACGGTTGTAATTAAAATTTAAATATAATAACAATGTTTATATAGATAAACAATCCTGCAAAATTTCAAAATAGCTACGACAACTTATTGCGAATTATGAACATACAAACTTTAACTTTATCTAAAAAAATTGAAAGTTTCAAGTTACGTTGTTTTGCCACGGAACGGCCGTGCAATAAAATCTTGCTGTCGTTTGCCGTAGCCTAGGCCTAAGTTAGACTGGCATGTAGGGCGGGAAAAGCTTGGAGAGTAGACTAGGCTTAGGCCTAGAGAAAAGTGCTTGCTTGTTAATTGTTACGCTGGCCTAGCCAGGCCCCCCCCCCACACCCCTGGCTAGGCTACTTTCACTGCCTAACTCAGTACTGAGTAAGTAGTAAGTAGCTAACCTGTCCTACTAGGCCTAGGCTAGGCTAGTAGGCTAGCCTAACCTAGGCTACGGCCAAGTGGCACGCCGGTCTAGACCTATTAAAAGACTAAAAATAATAACGTCAAGATAGAATATCTTACCTAAATATACCTTGACTTGAGTGTGTTAATGAAAACAACATGTATCGTTGCGTAATTTGGTCATGTTGAACTAACGCAGAGGAGGGGCTCTCATTGAATAAAATGGCGGCCCCAATCGAGCAGCATAATTTTAGTCATGCGCATCGACACAGATAGACGTTTTGCTGCAGTGACATCTCGCTGCTGGCGACTCGGTGCTGGAGCCGACTCGCTGCTGGCGAATCACCTAGTACGCATGCGCAAATGTATGGAACGCCGATCACGCAAAAATAGTGATTTTAGAATTTGACTCGGCAATGGTACCTAGTACGCATGCGTACATGTATGGAACGCCGAACATGCAAAAGTATTTTTTGTTTTTTAGCATGCGGCAACCTGTGGAGGTATATTTGGTATACCAAAAACGGACTTCGGTCATGTTCTAACTCCATAGCTATAATAAATAATATGATGAAAATTACATAGAATTACATTGGAATACATTAAAATGTTACAAAGCTATCCTTATACATAAATTTACTTTACCATGTTATCTGTAATTGGAGAATTTCAAAATTTTATTAATTTTCAACAATGTGGAAAAAACACAATATTCCTGGACCAAACGAGACTAGACTTCCGGAAACATTTTTGGAAGCTAGGAAGCCCATAATGGGAAGAACTACTAAACTTATTAGCGAATCAAATTAAAGCAGTGTCGATGATCAAAAAGATAAAAGTGAGAGTTTCTTCTTTTTTGGTAACATATCCGTCCGATCGGTACTTTGATAAGAAAGCTTTTGTAAGAAGAAATACACAATAGGAAAAATTAAGTCGTCTAAAAGTAAAAAGCAGTCCATTACAAAATCTCATAAACGGCTTATATTAATTAATATTGAAGAAGACAGTTGTACTTTATCACTGTGTCCCACTATAGCCAATTTGGCAACCATTGGACACAATGAAAAAGAACAGGATTATCTTGAAAAATAATAACAAAATATTTACAGTTTATCAACTGTCTCATATACACATCTAGATGTGTATAAGAGACAGCTGTCGTACCAGGCTGGGTAAGAAGAGAAAAGAAAGAGGAGAGAGGGAGGGAAAGATAAATAAGGGGAAAGAAAAAGAAAGGAAAAAGAAAAAGAGAAGAGAAAAATAAAGACAAGAATAAAAAGGAAGATATAATGAACAGATATCACAATACCCCGGCCTGCAACCCCTTCGCAGCGAAGGGACGCTACCAATAAACAATCAACAAACTACCGGGTTTCTGGGTTGACTTGCAAGGTACTACATGGCTCAACTATTTTTTACTTAGGGGTTAATTTGTAAAAATCGCACGCAAATCATACGACGTCACTGACAACGCCGGGGACGGCAACTAGATTTTGAAATTAATTTTTCTAATAAAGTTATACAAAATAACTTCTAGTGACGAACTATTGTCTTCAGTTGTTTTTGTTCGTCATTCAACTGTCATTTTATTTATTCTTTCGGTTATATTACCATTCTCAATAATCTGTAAAACACCCACATAACAACGTCACGTTAGATCTGTCTCTTATACACATCTAGATGTGTATAAGAGTGCGGGAATAAACAAAAAATTCTTTGCCGCATTAATTATTTTCACAGCATAACACAATGCAAATTTGTGACTTCAGATACATTTCTTTAAAAAACCATAAAATTTAAAGCAGTTTTTATACAATATTTACTATTACTAGCCAAATATAGACAGTCCCTCCCTCATCAATAAGAACAAAAGCGAAATTATCAATTGTTCCGTTTAAAAAACAAAACAAAAAACAAACAAAAAACCGCCTCACTCATTGACTTTTTTTTAAAGAATGATAATCTAGGCCTAATAATTTTTTAAATGTGCTCTTAGCAGCCATTGAACACAATGAAGTAGAAAATGATTAACTTCGAAAATATTAAAGAAGACAGTTGTACTTTATCACTGTGTCCAACTATAGCCAATTTGGCAACCATTGGACACAATGAAAAAGAATAGGATTATCTTGGAAAATATTAAACAATATATTTATAGTTTATCACTGTGTCCCACTATAGCCAATGTAGGGCACTGAAAAAACTGTTAGATCATCATCCCCCCCCCCCGCGTGAAAAAATCGGGAAATATTGATGCGGGATAAAAAAAAATATATACTATTACTAGCCAAATATAAACAGTCCCTCCCTCATCAATAAAAACAAAAGCACAATAACGAATTGTTCGGATTCGGGAAAAAAATCCGCAATCCGTCATCGTTTTTTTTTTTTTAAAGGGTGATAATCTAATATTTTGAATACATTGAACACAATGAAAAAGAAAAGGATTAACTTAGAAAATATTAAATAAGACAGTTGTACTTCATCACTCTGTCCCACTATAGCCAATTCGGCAACCATTGGACACAATGAAAAAGAATATGATTATTTTTGAAAATATTAAACAAGATATTATAGTTTATCACTGTGTCCCACTATAGCCAGTTTAGGGCACATAGGAAAAATTATTAGATCACTATTTTTTTTAAGTGAATAAGGCGGGTCTTTTTATTTATTTATTTATTTTTTTTTTAATCGGAAAACTGCTTTTTTGTAATAGATGAGGGAGGGACTGTTTTTATTTGGCAAGAATATTGTAAATATTGTATAAAACTGGTTTAATTTTTATTGTTTTTTAAAGAAAACGTAGGCCTATTTCCAATCAAAAAATTACATTGTTTTTTATGCTGTTGAAAAAATGATGCGGCCAAGAAAAAGAAACACTTTTTAAAATCAATCAATATTTGCCAATTTTTTTGACGTAAACTCAACCATACATATTCAAAAACAGAGTGAGGAAAAGGACCTCCACGAAACTCTTAGGAGCTTTTAAAATGGAGACCCGGTGTTTAAAATTAAAGTTTGTTGACATAAAGACAGTACATAACTGCCTAACTACAAAGATACACCCCCTCTCACCCCAACAGTCATATTTATTTGATTTACATTTATTTTGAACATTGCCATGAGGACATTGTTTAAATCCACACTGGCCTATATTTTACACTGATTGTACTG